CCCTTGTCTCTCTTCCCCCCCCCCTCTCTCTCTCCTTCCATCCCAAGTGCTGCCCACTCCCAGTCCCCTCTCCAACTGAGATTCTCACTCCATAACCCCTCCCCTTCTCCTCTGAGGGGGTACCTCCCCCAGGTATCACCCAACCCTGGCTCATCAAGTCTCTGCCAGATTAGGTGCATCCTCTCCTACTGAGGGCAGACAAGGCAGTCTTTGAGAATGGATACCACAGTCAGGCTAAGCTTAAGGAAAGCTTCCGCTCCAGTTGTTGTGGGAGACTGAGCTGCACATCTGCTACATGTGTGCCGAGGGCCCCATTTCAGCCCCTGCGTGTTCTTCAGTTGGTGGCTTAATTCTGAAAGCTCCCACAAGACCTGCTTTCTATCTGTAAATGTTAGTCACTTCCTCATCTGCCCCAAAAGATGATTCTCTGAGATTATCACGTTAGATGCAAGCTGTCATGGGGAGGTCACATAGCCCTCAGACTGGCCAAAGGGCAGCACAAGTATATAAAAGGGAGTAGCCCTGCTGATTGGTTCCTGAGTAAGCTCTGAAGTCCCTCCCACTATACCAATTAACTTTTTTTTTTTTTTGTATCAGAAAGGAGATGGCTTTGGATGAAAAAAGAGCTGGAGGCTGATGCTGGAGGAGGAGTGGGAGCAGAGCAGGTGGCAGAGCAGAGAGCCATGCGATGGAGACACGGGGGCAGGGGAGGCAGGTGGCTAGCTGATGGACTGACCCAGCAAAAAGGCTAACAGGCCTATGCTATACAGATTCTCTGTGTCTCTTTTATTAAACCCCAAAGGGAAGCCCCAAAGCCCCTGCAACATAAATGAATCTTTGAGTTAGCTCCTCTATACTCACACATCAGAATTCAAAGTCGAGCCATTTATCCACTTCCAGTTCTTGTCTGTCAACGTGTAATTTAACCCAATCCAAAATGAATAATCTTTTTCCTTTATTGAGTCCTGTAGGGATCTCTACAATCAAAACAGAGCAGAGAACTTAACCCCTGAGTCTGGGCATTGGTGACTCATATTCTACCAGCCTCCTGAAACCCAGTTCAAGGGTCATCTGTACCAGTCCTGGGTCCCTAACACAGTTAATTCTTCCCCCCTTTGAAATCTGTGCCCCAAATTTATGATCCAAAGGACACTCACTTTATATGTGCAGTTATTGGCTCACATGACCAATTAGTGTCGCAGACTATGAGCTTCCATAACGTAAAGTCTCCACTTCCTTTGAGGAATGTGCTAATTAATGTCTCTGTTTTATTGAACAACTTACCAGTTCTTCTTGGTCTTGAATGAACAGTAAAGTGGCTCCTTTTCCATCACAGTCAGCTAGACTTTCCTTCCAATGTTTGGAAACTTGAGAAAGATGAAAGCACTTGTCTCGGTGTGAAAGCCAGTCTTTGGGGCACTCTAACTTGGCTGAACAATCTGAAGCAAGAGGAATACATGGTGTATTTCTACCCTGTTCTTGCTGCACCAAAGCTGGTTTCACACAGTAGTTGCTTTACTAACACACACTTTTATTAACATGTGCAGGAACAAGACTGTTGTTATGACATATCAAATAAATATAAATAACAAAGATTTTATTTTTGTTTCTACTTATTAACTTCAGACAAAGTTAACTATTTGATGAATTTATCAAGACAATCAAGTATTTCTTGTAGTAGTTTGAATAAGGATAGCCCTCATAGGCTCATATATTTAAGTGCTTAGTCACCAGAGACTGGCACTACTTTTGGAAGTATAGTCTCATTGGAGGAAGTTTGTCATGGGGGGTGGGCTTTGAGAGTTCAGAAGCCCAAGCCAGGTTCAGTGTCCTCTCTTCCTGCTTCCTGCAGATCCAGATATAGAACTCTCAGCTGCTTCTCTAGGATCATATCTGCCTGTGTGCTGCCATGCTCCCCACCGTGATGACGTGAACTGAACCTCAGAAAGTGTGAGTAAAGCCCAATTAAATGCTTTTCTTTATAAAAGTTGCTGTGGTCTCTCCACAGCAATAGAACACTGAGTCTAAAGCTTTTCTCTAAAGCGTATTACTTTTTTGGTAGGTGTGTTTGATTTGTGTGCATGTGTGTGCAAGTACACATGCCTATGTACATGCAGAGGCCAGAGAAGAATGTAAGGTCTTTCCCCTTCTCTCCCTCTTCACTTATTCTTTAGAAGCAGGTCTTTTCTTCAACTAATATTGAAGCTAATGTTTTTTTCTGCAAAGCTGAAAGTCAGCAGGCCTCAGTGACCATCCTGTCTCCACTCCCTGCAGTGCTGGGGTGTTTATTAAATGGTTGTAATTACAGTTTTCACATTTACACGTAAGCACTCTTAACCATTGAGCTGTCTCTTAAGCCCCCTGTATTTAACTTTTTAGCTTGATATTTGTCTGTTGGTGACCAACTGTGCTAGCAGCCTGAGGAAGCATGGCCAGGTAGCTAAGATGCTAGATCTCAAGGTCACATAGCTTCAGAGAAGTTTCCAGCAACATCACCTACTGGTCACATGACTTTTGACAAGTTCTTAACTTTTTCATGCTTCAGTTTTCTCAAACGTAAGACCCACCATGATGTGAGCTTTGCTTAAAGGTATCGTGATAGTGATCAAATGTCAGGATGTCAAAATTACCTGTTGTATTCGTCCTGTTCTTTTGAACATCCACGATGCTTTCTTCTACTGATGGTTTTTGTAATAATGATAGCACTGGTAATAAGAAAACACAGGAAGAAGATGAAAAACTGTTAAACTAGAATGGGCATTGTATCTACCACTTCAGGAAGTGAAGCCATCTCAACAAGCTTGATTATGGACAGAAGACAATGCATTAGCAGCACGTTAATAACAGGCTGGCCGGAGACAGAAGAAAGAGAGAACAAGAAAAGCACAGTCCACTTGGATTCACAGGGCTGTTAGGCTACAGGTTATCTAAGGACATTACTGAGGCTCTCACACTGCTCACGCTCCTAACTTCTCCTCTGGAAGTGTACTCACACCCTCACCATCTGTAAGCATACTCACACTCTCGACCACACTGAGCAGAAGGTTGCTGACTGCCTTCTGGGGTTCAGTAGACACCTAATAAACTCATATTTAGGCATTGTGGCTTTCGTTGCTATTGTCACCTTGTCACATGTGTGACCTTTTGCAGAGTTCTAGGTACACATGTGTCACCCCATAATGATTCTCAGAGCAAGTAAGAAAAGAAACATGAGAGGTGATGTTGTCCTGTAACTGCTCGTCATTGATCTTTCCCCACGCTCAAGGTGGCCAGATCATGTGAAGAAGCCGAAATACAGTGGAAATAGAGAAAGACTTCTAAGGCAAAAGCTTCTGTCTCACTTACCTAAGACACCGAGTCCAATGACAGTCAGGACAAGAAGGATAAGGCAAGCACAGCCGAACTTCAGAGCCAACCGATGCCAGCGTGGGCACCGACGGGTGTCTGAAAAGTTAAAGAAAATACACTTTTAATCTAGTTAAGCGCATTTGGAATGAAAGTCAGAGATGATTAACATGGATAATTGGATTCAAGTCGAGGGTGGGGTGCAGAAAAGAACCTGTCTCAGCCAGCTTACTGTAGAGATCCACAAGATGAGTCGGGTCAAACGGTGTTTTCTCAGATGACATAGGACTACTTGACTTCTCGTGCATGTTTCATGTGAAAGGGGGGTTAGGAGGGACGAACTCCATCGATGAGGAAGGTGGTTTGAAAATTGCTGAGAGAGTACTTTATTACAAAAATAAAGTATAAGTTCTGTTATGGAAAGGAGCCAGTATTTCCCCCAAGAAAGGACACACACACACACACACACACACACACACACACACACACACAGAGAGAGAGACAGAGAGAGAGACAGAGAGAGAGAGAGAGAGAGAGACAGAGAGAGAGAGAGAGAGAGAGAGAGAGAGAGAGAGAGAGAGAGAGAGAGAGAGAGAGAGAGAGAGAGAGAGAGAGAGAGAGAGAGAGAGAGCTCAGTTTTGTGCTAAGTACCACCTTTAGGCATCTATTCTGGACAGGGTTATAGTATGTAGCCCTGACTGGCCTGGAACTCTAAGCAGACCGGAGTGGTCTCAGCCACTAGGTTGTTTTCAGCATTTTGACTACATCTCTTCTTATCACACTGGCTGAGTTCTCACACTCTTAACGGGTGAGCTGAACTGTGGATAGAAGCAAACTCTATGTACACGATTTCACACACATAAACACGGAGTTTTCCGTCTTAACTAAGCACATGCATATTGTGGCTATAACTTTTACAGCTTGATATGTAGTAACAATATCTGGATGTTTTTTTTCCCTTTCCTTAAATCGAGGTTTTGTTTTTTCACCTTGTCATGTAAAGGAAGAGGCCTATGGCTTCCCTTTGATGCTAGGGTTGCTAGCATTTACAGCGCTCACAGTTTGAGGCCGCTATTCAGTAAAATGGGTTATTTGAGCCACAAATCTGGGTGACGGGCAGGTGGTGAGGAAAGACTCATGTCTTGATCAAAATCATGTCACATCTCATTGTGCTGTTCAGAATGATGTCCAGTAACACAGAGTTATTTATTCTGGAATTTTCTATTTAGTATTTATCAACTTGTTGTTGACTACAAGTTATGAAAGTGTAGAAACTGAAGTAGCAGATGAAGGGGGTACCGTGGTATATACAATACATGCTTATATCTACAACGCTACACCGGTGAATGACTGAGTCCTATATCTTCGCTTCTCTTGGTGACCATATCAATTACTGTACAATGAATGTCTCAACGTTTATCAGAAGTTGAGATGTGACAAGTTATGAAATGTGTTCACAAAGTATCATAATTTGGTCAATTTATTTTGATTTTAGACAACTTTGAATGCATGAGTATTGTATGGAAAACAACAACAATAGTTTGATTTATGAAAGTACCATGGAGAAATACTAGTAACTCCTGTGCCTGTAACTATTATAATCCCCCGTTGCTCTCATCTGGCCTCTAGCATTTACATTTACAGTGGTCTTATGAATTTTAAGAAAGCTTTCCTAGTTGACTTTTGGCTGTTCTTCATTCTCTTTTTGTCCAGGTTGGCCTCTAACTCTCCATGTGGTTAAGAGTAGCCTTGAACTCCTGCTGCCATCATATCTCAGGTTCTGGTATCATAGGTGTGAACCACATACCTGACGAAGGGCCTTCCTTCTGCGTGGCACCATTTGATTTATGATTTATATATATGTTCTGTTCATTTTGTATTTTTCTAAGTATTTCTTAATATAAATGAATATATTTTTTGAGTTAACTGGTAAATTAATAAAAATCATTTTGGGCTATTACATTGTCTTTTATTTGCATTGTATTTTCCTTTATACCCATCTCTACTTTCTCTCTGTATTTTGTTTTTTACGTTATCCATAGCAACTGAATTGCATCACTGAGACTGAAGACAAACACCAGTTGTCTCTAGTCTCTAGACCAGAATTGAGATATGACATCCACTGAAGCAAGTTAGTTCCTTTTAAAATGCTCCTTTGGAGAAAGGATAAAAGGAAAGGGTGGAGAGGGACAGAAGATAAAAAACGTTCCAGAAGAGACAAAAGACGGTCTAACTTATGCTTGTAGCAGTATCTGTAGACCCAACAAACTACAGGCTGAAGATAGTTACATAGGAAGAGCTGCTTCATTAGTCTCTAAACAAATACATGATAGTAGCTGTTCCTATGGCTTTGAAATTACCCTAGGCGCTGTAAGTAATCTACAGATCATCTGATGCACACAGCAACATGCAAACAGGTTACTTGGTTTTGTTGTTGTTGTTGTTGTTTTGTTGTTGTTTTTTGTTTTTTCGAGACAGGGTTTCTCTGTGTAGCCTTGGCTGTCCTGGAACTCACTCTGTAGACCAGGCTGGCCTTGAACTCAGAAATCCGCCTGTCTCTGCCTCCCAAGGGCTGGGATTAAAGGCGTGCGCCACCACTGCCCAGCCAAACAGGTTACTTGTAAGTACTATATTTTATTTAAGAGACCAGCGTATGGGCAGATGGCTGGAAGCAATCTTCTGTGGACAGTGAGCACTGTTGTATGGTGAGAGGTGATACGGGACAGTCATGGATAGAAGCAGTCACTGTGTTAGGTTTGAGGGTATGGCCAGTGGGTCACCAGTGCTGCTGTATCTTGGACAGAAGGACACCAAAGAAGACTCCATAGCCCCAAGGCCCATAATATTTTTATAACCCATGAATGTTCTTATTTATAAAATGTGGACAATATCAACTACAGAATGTTCTAGAAAGGACTTTATGAAACAATCATTCTAAATTCCTGAGCATAGCATCTGGCTGGTGGTAGCTGCTAATAAATAATCATTATTTTTTTTCTAAATGGTGAGGATTTTTTGTTTTGTTTTAATTATTGGTAAAAAGTCATTTGAATAACTTAAAATGTTTTTCATCCATTCATGACGAAATTTAAAGATTTCTTGTTCTCAGAGTTAGGTTCCCTGTACTAGCTTGTCTTACTATTGAAGTTATATACCGAGGAAGCTATGTGAGCGTTGGTTATGTGGAAGAGCCAGCATGGAGATCTTTTTTTTTTTTTTTTGGTATTTACGCAATGCTAAGTCATCTCCACTGTTCTAGACATTTCAGTGGCTTCCCCTCAACATCTGCACCTATGGAATGCCCTCCAAATCCCTTTCTGCCTGTCACCATTCCTCCTGACTTGATCTCAGTAACACAGCAGGCATGTGTGTTCCTCTACAGCATCATAGACATGTTCTCCCTTTGCATCTGTAGGTCCAGCTGCCTAGAAGACTCATCTCTCAGACACTCAGACTAGTTCCCGAGCATCTTTCAGGGCTGGACTCCTGCATCATTTCTCTGGAAGGCCTGCCTTGATGACTCTACTTGACATGATGCTGTCTTTCAAGATAAGATGCTCGAGTTCCGCTTAAAGGCTTTCCTTGCTGGCGTTCAACATCACAAAGTTGTTGATGCAAGTGTTTATATCAATAATTTAAAACTTCACAGTAATATAAAATCTACAGGGAAAAAATGTTTTATTGTTTCTTCATGGCTATTTCCCCAGTGTCTACAGCGATATTTGTCTTATAGTAAGTAGTTATTTCTGAACAAATGGACAAACTCCAGAGGCATTCGTACATATTTTACCCATTGTACCATCAAGACAGACCTTTGGCCATTTAACCACAAACAAACTAGGTCACTGCCCACGTCCCCCTTTCCGGTCCTTTTTGCTGGCAGATCTAATCATGGTGCTTCAAATTTACCACGGTTTGAGTCCTTTAGCTGACAGGTCCTGGTGGTTTCACAGTTACTATGCTACTCGGTCAGCATTTTCTCTTCAAACATTATGCTCTATTTTTATTCTACTACTAATTGTTTTTTTCCCCCTTCAGGTTTATTTCCAGATTAGTAACATTTAGAATAATTATTATTTATTTTTAGCTTTCTTAAAGACTTTCTAGACACAGTTTTCTTATGGTTTTGGTTGTGAGCCTAGCCTTTAATGGCTGAGCCATCTCTCCAGCCCTCTAGTTTTCTTGATTCGGGATCATAGACAGTAGGATTTGAGAGCATTATTATTTTTCTCTATGTTTGTTTTCTTACACCCTTTTCAACAACGCCTTTTCTCCACTTGTGCTAGGCATGATGGGAAAACAAAGACTTGCTTTTTCCCAACAAAAAATAACTGGCGCCATCAGCTCCCCATGCAGTTATCCAAACAGGCTCTCCTTCCACTCCCTACTGACCCTTACGTAAACATTTTATAAAACGCATTTGGTGACTGAGACTTTCTCTTTCACGCAAACCTTTGACAATTTCATAGTTTCTAACAAGAACCACTAAAGTTGGAAGCCCACATGTCACAACACGTAGACAACATCATGTTAGAAAACAACTGCTTTAAGATCCGTGTTCAGTTAGACAGCAGACTGGAATTCTGTTATCATGACTATTTTCTATACTTTCTGCCTGAGCTTCCGGTTTCTTACATCTCCGTCATCCTTAGGTCATGTACTTCACCTCTTGCCTCACTTCCACATTTCTTTAGGATTATTAAATCCTCTGGTAGACAAGAGTGCTACTTTTGGCCAGCACTGAAAAATTAATTCCAGACTGGCTCTGGTACCTTGTGGTCCATACATTTAAAGCTATTATGTTTTGCAAGAGAGAGAAAACCAGCTTTTTAAAAAATTAAATAAACTTTTTTTATATATAAGAACCACCAGCTTCTAATTTAATTCAACCTTTGATTTTGACTATAACTTTCCCTCCAAAGATTGTTCTCCTTTTGGGGAGACAAAGACATTAACCATGAAGTCTACACAGCACTGTGAAGGGACAGCTGGGGTTGCCGCTGAGGTAGAATTGGTGCATAGTGTCCATGTTCTATGGATGAATTTGGAGTTAGCAATTGAATGCAGCAAGTATCTCTTAAAACACCCCTTTGTGCATGTAAGTAAAATAGTCTTTCTTAGGATTTTTAGCAAATGCTGAACAGGGGAAGTGGTGTTCAGATTTTCTTCTGACTACATGAGTAAAAATAAAATGTGTGGCCTTTCTAGAACTGGTTTTCTGCAGGCAGGCTGCCTACACTATGTAACAGTAGCATGCACCTGCTTGTCCCCTTTAAAACAATGACTTACTCCCATAGGTTTTAGAGGAGAATCTTAACTCTGGAAGATAATTCAAATGCCAGAGAAAGTAAGCTACTTACCTGGGGAAAGAGATGGAGGCAATTCACACTGAGGCTCTTGGGTCCTGGCTAGGTTTAAGTCGGCATAGACCACTGACGTGTCCATTGTAGATGGAGGGACTTGACACTAGACTCGTGAACAGGGACAAACTCCAAGTCCTGTGAGGTGAAATGAGCAAAAAAAGGAAGTCCGCTGCATATGCTCTGCTGTGTGTGTCCACACCCACCCACACTGGTAGCTGAGGGTTTCTCCATAGTTATTGACCTTGGTGTCTGTCCTGCTTACCACAGCCCCAGCCGAATTTCCGCATTCCACGGCTCCCTTCACAGTATGCGCACGTGAGGAAGATTTTAGAGCTTAGTTTTTTTTGTTTTTGTTTTTGTTTTAAGACAAGAATTTGCAACATACAGAACATAGGGGTTTGGTTTCTCAACAAATTTCTGGAAAGATCTTTCTTGTTCTTATTCCTCTAACCATCTGTTATGACTTATCTTCTCAGACCTCCAATGAAATATTCATCCTGAGTTCAAATTTACCTTGGCCCTCAACCCTCGGGGATTAAGATGTATGACATTTTATCTATGTTATGAAAATGAGAATGAGCCAGGCAGTGGTGGTGCATGCCTTTAATCCCAGCACTTGGGAGGCAGAGGCAGGCGGATTTCTGAGTTCGAGGCCAGCCTGGTCTACAGAGTGAGTTCCAGGACAGCCAGGGCTACACAGAGAAACCCTGTCTCCAAAAACAAAAACGAACAAACAAAAAAGCAAAACGAGAATGAGGACATAAAAGTCCACACTACTATATGAAGCTCTAAAACCCTCCTCACGTGTGCGTACTGTGAAGGGAGCCATGCAATATGGAAATGTGGCTGGGGATAAGAATCCATGACATAACAGGAAAAGCATCAGGTGCCACTCACTGTTGTTCCCAGTTAAGGACTCCATCCGTCAGAGCGACAGGGAGTGGAGGACTTGGGTCTATGGGATGGGCTAACTCCTCTCCTCCAAGAATTTGCAGGCCTAGAGCCTTAGAGCAAGGACTACAAATGTCCCCAAGTCAGACATTCTCATATCACAAGAGAAAAAGAAGAAGAAAAGCAAGGATTTCCTTAAAGACGCTTTCTGTGGTTACAGTGGAGTTGTACTAGGTGCTCACAGTTACCTGGTAATGGCAGCAGTCTGCTGGCTGTGAGTTCTAGGAGACAGGGGATGTGTACAGACAACATGGGGCTCACACTCATTTCCCACGACCATGATGATTATGGAGTGAGAGGAAGCCTGTGTGTGGTCTCACAGCTCACTTAAGACGCAGTGAAACGTCCTCAGCTGTCACTGATGACGGTCACCTCGCTCAATGCCATGTCTGGGGCTCTGCCTCATGCTATTGAAACCTAAGATTTCAACAAGTAGACAAGATTTTCCAGAGTTGTCCATCTTGAGAGATTCTATGTATTTATTTTGCTCAGATTACTAAACCTGGCAGGCAAGAGTACTGATTTCGACCAGTGCTGAACCGTTAGTGTATATATACATTTCGTCTACATCAGGAACTCAGGCTTTATATGTATAAGAACCGCCTGAAAGTTTGTTAATAATTCACTTCCTCTCACTTAACCCTCTCCCTTCCCCAGATATCATGAGTCTCTTCAGTGGGAAACATGTGAATAACGTTCCAAATATTTGAGGTGGCTAATGGGTCATGCTTAAGCAAGCAGCCCTGTGGTCGGTGAATGAGAGGATAGATTAGAAAGATCAACAGAGTAAACAGAAGTCTGAAGCTGTGATTAGAGGAAGAATAAAGCTTCGAGGACACTGAAGTTTAGGTTTACTTTGTTATTTTATGTGCACTGGTGCTCTATGGGCTGCCCTGTAAGGTGAGAACTGACCTTCATCCTCTGGGAGGACAGCCAGTGTTCTTAACTGCAGAGCCATCTCTGCTGGCCCAACACTGAAATATTGAATATTCTGAAGCCTGACACTGATGGATCTACAAAGGCCTTACGAAAAGCAAGAGATCTGAGGGGAGATACTTTCACCAGCAAGTGCTTCCAAAAAGCCTCTAAGCCACAAAGCGTAAAGAAACTAAAAATAGTAACTGATGACAATCATGACACTTGTCATTGGTTCTTGTTCCCCTTGCAGCTGACAGACCACTTTTTCTGTGACGGAGTGGCAGGGGCAACTCCAACTACTGCAAGGTCATTTTTTTTTTATTTTTTTTTTTTTAGGTTTTTCGAGACAGGGTTTCTCCATACAGCCCTGGCTGTCCTGGAACTCACTCTGTAGACCAGGCTGCCCTCGAACTCAGAAATCCACCTGTCTCTGCCTCCCAAGTGCTGGGATTAAAGGCGTGCGCCACCACCGCCCGGCTTCATTTTTTTTTTTTTTAACAGCAAAATTTTTGGTATGTGGCCATCGTTGAACAGATAAAAATAAAACCTTCCTGAGAATTCATATCAGAAGAATCATCTGGCTGACCAAAGTCATATGGTCACCTAACTGCCCAAATGATAGTTCCACTGAAAAATATGTCAGATTTCAGGACTATAATGATCTTGTTGCTCTAAAATATAAGGAGAGTGGGCAGGCGTGTATATTTGTGTGCGAGAGAGTACAAACGTGATATTAAGTGTACACAATGTGTTGTGAAATCTAAAGAACTCAAATGGTGAATGATTGTATGTGATCCTGGGTTTCATTTATTTTTATTTGTCCATGTAGATGTATGTGTTTTTGCCTGTGTGTGGATACAGTGTATATTTGCGTGGTGTATGTGCATGTGTTTGGATGTACACACCTATGTGCATGCCCAGAGGCCAGAGGAGAATTTTGGATATTTTTTCTTCCTTGTTCCTTTGAGACATGGTTTCATTTGGACCTTGCAATGACTTTGTGTTTCCAGCTAATCTGAAAACCATCACCCTTCTGCAATCCTCCTTTCTCTTCCCCTCTGGATGCTAGGGTTATAGGTGTTCCAGGAACTACACCGTTCTTATCTGCTAAGCTATCTTTCCAAACCCTGATACCGAGTTTTAAAGTGGCTATAGTCAAAGTCATATTGAAAATCTCAAAGATTAAAAAAGACAAGCTTCCCTGTGGTAGCCTGCTTTGATGCTGAACTCTTTTACTTTATAGTGGAAGTTAGAATGTGTAGGAAACATAGAATAAAATATAAGCCTGACTCTAGAGTGTGAAGGAATAAAAAAAGAGGTGCACAGACAAAGATGAGGCTGGAGAGATGGCTCAGTGGTTAAGAACACAGGCTGCCCTTCCAAAGGACACAGGTTTGATTCCCAGCATCTACCTGGCAGTTCAAAACTGTCTGTAACTCCGGTCCCAAGGGTCCTTATATCTCTTCTAGGTTAGGTTGTTTGGCCACTAAGAGCTCACCCAGATACAAGTGCAGGCAAATACCCATATACATAAAATAAAATAAAAATAATTTAGCAAATTAAAAAATAAAAGACCAGGAGAGGTGACTGATATTTTAAAAGTCAAAATCAAAGAAAACTTTACACAGATACAAAAACAAACAAGACAAAAGCAGGGAACAAAAGCAGGGACAGATGACCCAGTAGGGATACTTTGTAAATTAAAGCACCACAAATGGAAGACCCTAACGATGATTAGTTAGCAACTAGAAACCCAAGGAGCTGATGAACACCACAGAGAAATAACTACAGGAAGACAGGAAGGCAAAAACTACACCAACAAATGCCAACAATAGTCAAACTGATTTGAGGAGTGAAAGGCTACAATAGCAGAAACGAAACATTCACTGGGAGTCAAAACTGTGAGCGAAACAAACCTCTTCTCCGGAAATCAGAAGATGGAATGTTTGTGAAGGGTTAACAGGAAAGGAGAAAAAGAGAGCAGAGATTGTTGAAGTAATGGCGTGTCGGCACGACCAAAACGCGGTATATGCCCATGTGGAGTGTGCCGCAGAGAAAACGATTATCTTTTACACTTCATACTTCTAATAAATAGTGGGGAAAAAGACAAACCGCTTTTCTTTATGGATAGTCTGGTCTCAGTTGTTTCATAATAACTGCAGAAAATGGGGTCACACAGCTGAGGTCTGCAATGTGGTGATCAATTCATTCCAACCAAAAAAATTATAGTCAGCCAAGATTACCCTTCAAAAACAAAGAAACTGAGACTTTCCCAAATGTTCAAAAGCTGAAGGAACTTATTATCACTGGATCTGCTTCACAAGGGATGATCCAGGGTCAAATCAAGTCAAAGCAAGAAGACAATGAGGAGAAAAACAAAGTCATAAAAAGTCTTCAGCATACACAGCAACACAGGCTGTAATACGAGTACATAGATTTTAAGTGTCGAACGTATTTTAAAAAGCAGGAATAATTATATGACAGTGTGTATACAATACTTTATTTTTTATTTTATTTTTCTTTTACGATACTTTATAATGTCATATACGACATCAGTAACAAAATCTTGAGTGAATAAAACTAATGGGATGTCTGTGACTGAAATTAATGCTAGTTGATAAAGTTCTGTGCGGGGCAGTGGTGGCGCACGCCTTTAATCCCAGCACTTGAGAGGCAGAGGCAGGTGGATTTCTGAGTTCGAGGCCAGCCTTGTCTAAAGAGTGAGTTTTCAGGACAGCCAGGCTACACAGAGAAACCCTGTCTCAAAAAAAAAAACCCAATTAATTAATTAAAAACAAATAAATAAAGATAAAATTCTGCATTTTAAAAATTTTTAAAGAAGCTTTATATAGGAACTGACAAGATGGCTTAGTTGGTAAAAGCGCTTGCCACCAAGTCTTAGTCTGAGATGGATGCTGGAACACACTTTGCAGATAGAAAGAGAGGACCAGTTCTAGCAAGTTGTCCTCTGATCTCCACATGTGTACACACAGACTTTAAATTTAAGTAGTACTTTTAAAAACTTCTTAAAAGCTTTATTATATAATTGCAACAATAACCACAAAGCCAATGCACATAGTGCCTTAGTTGTTCTATTGCTGTGAAGAGACACCATGACTAAGGCATCTTATAAAAGAAAGTAATTAATCCGGGCTTGCTTACAACTTCAGAGGGTGAGTCCATTTCCATCATGGGCATGGTGTGGACTTCTGCCCTCTCCCGGCAAAGTCCACCTCCCAGTGACATACCTCCTCTAACAAGGACACACCTCATAATGCTTCCTAAACAGGCCACCAACTGAGAACCACATTCCGGACCATTCTCATTCAAACCACCTCATATAGAATAGAGACAAAAGAAAATGAGTTGAGAATCGAAGCATAGCATTACAAAAACATATTGCAAAATGAGTCAGTAAGAGAAAAAACAAGGGAGGGGGAAATCAGATATTGAGAAATAACAAACTAGTCACCCTTCTGCACTCCACTTATTACAAGCAACTCAAAAAGAAAATTAAGAGAACAGTTCCATGTATAATATCACGAAACGGACTAAAATACTTAGGAACACGCCCAGTTACAGATGTGAAAGACTTTCATAGCAAACATCCTAAAACTTGCTGGATGAAATTAAGCAGACACTACTAAATGAAACCTTGGATCAATGAGAGGGTTGGATTAATACTGTTGAGATGACTGTACTAGCAACGTGATCTACAGGTTCAAAGCAATCTCCAGTATAATCCTAATAGTTAGCTCTTTTGAGAAAATATAAAAATGTACTCGTAAGTTTAAACAGAACCTGGAGGGATTCAACACATTCAAAACACAGCTGGAAGCCAACAAACTTGGAGGACCCATGTTGCTTTATCTTAAAAAGTCTTTGTTTTTTTATATAGTAATGAAGATACTAGTTGTATAAAGACAAGCAGATCAGGAGAAAGAAACACAGAGCAGATAAGATGAGTAAATGCCCATGTATTCGGTCAAATGATCTCGATGAATGTGTCCACTTAGATAAAATGGTCTCTTCAATGCAGAAAACTTTTAATCTGTAGTTGTGTGTATGTGCCTGAGTATGTGTATGTGTGTACAGGAGCCTATGGAGGTCAGAAGGGGGCACTGGATCTCCTGGAACTGGAGTTATAGGGAGTTATATGTCACCGTGTGGGTGCTGGGAACTGAACTTAAGTCCTCTGCAAGAACAACAAAATGTTGCTAACTGGTGAGCCATCTCCCCCTCCCTCGATGAGTAATGTTTAGACAGCTGTATGTCTACACACAGAGAATGAAGTGTGACTCTTATTTTACACCATGATGCAAAAATCAACCGTAAATGGGTTAGATACCTAA